CTTTTGTAGACGTCTTACTGACACAAAGGCTTTTATGTGATTTGCCACAGCAGGATTTCTTTCTACAATGACAGCAGACTGACTGAATGTGAAAAAAATTGAGACATCTTTGACTTTTTCTTTTTTTTTTTAAAACACCTCGGGCTATTCGTCATCTATTTTGTAAATGAATGTTTCGTTGTAGGGTGTTATGTAATGGTTTTACTGCTCCAGCCCTCTTGAGATCAAATTAGCCTGTGTTTGAACCATAATCTAAAATGACTGTACGGCACCTGTATAGTTTTAACGTTTAGCAAACAAACTTAATTTGATGACTATGAACAAAATTAGGTTGTACATATGGAAGTGAGCATTTAAGGCAGGAGGACAGCACACATACAGATGACTCAGAATTGAACTACAGTGCTCCCCATGTACCCCATCCATCGCATGTTTTAATAATTCTGAAGAACAACAGCCACACGAGGCATTGGGTGCCCAGGTAGTTGTGATCAGTTAATTGCTGTGGGACTTTGTTGTTTCATAGGGTGATAATTGGAAAATTGTGGTGTGATTCTTTAATCTGATTGCTCTATTTTATTCCAGTGGTCCCAGGAGCAGCCACCGTCATCATAATGGTGTGCGTAGGTTTCCTGGTTGTGATGGTGATCCTGGGAGTTTTCCGAATCCGCTCAATCCATCGCCGTGGTGAAGGAGCCAGAGGCGGGGCTAAGGAGGGCAGCAGTCAATGGGACGACTCTGCGCTCACCATCATCGTAAACCCAATGGAGGTAATAAAGATGTTTGATTTTCATTCTTTGTCTTATGTTGCCAAAAGTGTTTGCTCGTCTGCCTTCACACGCGTGAACTTTTCAGAGTATTCCCTCCAAAAAAACAATAATTATTGATGTGATCACACTTCTTCATCCACTTCTTTTTTCCCCCAGTCCTACGAGTCTCGTGTGGGCATCTCTGCCGACACGGAGGGCGAGGGGGAGGAGGATGAGGAGGTAGCAGAGTCGCCTGACGACGCGAGCGATGACCAGCGAATCATCATCAAGAAGGAGGGCAGAGACGGCAACGCCCGTCGCTACTGAGCCACATGTATCTCTGCACCCGTTCTCATGGAAACCACAACCCAGCTCACTAGTCACACACTCCAACACTTTTAATATCAACGAACGACTAGTATAAGGAATGTAAGCTTACAAACACGACGCACAATGCAGTCACCGTAATACTCCTGACACCCAACGCCATATGTGACCTACAGCCAACAACAGGCTGCCTCCACCTAAATGTTCAGTGGCACAATGTATACAGCTAATGTAATTTAACCACCTGATTAAACCCCACCAAATTTGTATGTGGTGCACCAGTGCTAAATCACAAAATGGTCATGTGTCTGTATAGTGTAATACTGGTTGAATAAGACTGTTTTGTTTAAAAAAAAAAAAAGAAAAAGTAATAATAAGATTGTATTCTATCTTTTGTCTTCGAACACAGAATGA